TACACATGCAAAGCACAAAACTGTAAAATGTGGTGCTCAAAATTGTGTGACACTGAGGTTACAAGTAGAATTGAGATCCTATTTTCACACCTGAATTTAAATTCTACTTGTAACCTCAGTGTCACACACTTTTTTTGAGCACTTGAATTTTGTGTTGGTGCTCAAAATTCCTGTGTGACACTGAACATAAATATAAATCAATACATATATTAAAGAAAAAATTAATAAAACAATCCTACAAAACTATGTACAAATGTGTTTTTAGAATGACAAAACTCCTCACCGCAAAGGCAAACTCAGAAAATAAGGTTTATTGCCAAGCAGGTTTTCACTTACAAGATACTTGGCTTGCTGTAGTACCCAATTAACATATTCAGAGGAAATAAAATAAATTAAAAAAATAAAAAAAAAAGTAAAAATACTGTAACAGTCAAACAAAATATACATGATACATATATTAAAGAAAAAATTAATAAAACAATCCTACGAAACTATGTACAAATGTGTTTTAAAATGACAAAACTCCTGCTGGGCAAGATGTGCAAAAGATGACAGTTTAGACAATATCCGTCATGTGCAGGGATAATACCTCAAGGTGTTGATGTAAAGGGGTTGATTGATGAGGCCACATCGCAGAAAGAAAAAGGCTTGGTGCTGGTCCATCATTGGTGATTAGACTGGACTTCTGGTCCTGATACAGACAAACATGCGATAGCGACAATTCCTTTAGATCATACAAGTTCTTTATAATCAAACATGTTAGATCTATTGTGTGTGTATATTCAATTTGAAGATAGATATGAATATGCAAAAATACAGTATGAATATTGTGAAATTTAAATGCAAGGAAATGAGGAGTAAACAACTAGAGGTATGATAAGAATTCATTGTAAACACACTATATAACCAACAAATGCAGCAATACAAATATGGATATACTGTAAAAGAATCAGCAGTATGAACATGTACACACTGCGGGTCTGATTTAATCACAGTGGTATACACAAGTCTTACTTTTTAAAAGTGAATGATAGCATGTTACTCACCTAGACCCTCCTCACTGTCTGGACTCTCTGCTGTTGGTGAGACACGGTGGAGGCGATATTGCATCTGTACTGGCTCAGGTCCCGATAAAAGACAGAGGGATGATGAAATCTCCTGAGAAATGTAAAAACCTAGTTCACTTTCAATCATGGCTGATCTCCTAACAGTAATGTAAAGAGTTACAACATGGTGAAACCGATCGACGTTCGGTCACAAACATCTGACTTTTTTGCATTGGAAAACACTAGTAAGTGTCATAATGAAAACGTGGCAAAGCCACTAATGTTACGCTCATGAACGTTTCGTTCAATATGAACTAATCTTTTATCTTGTACATTATTCTGTGGGTTTCACAGACTAAAAACTGAAAGGGTAGCATACGGGTTCTTCCCGTTAGTCTCGTCCCACCCCTAGTCATGACGTAACTTCTGTTTGTGATTTGACACCTATAATGAATAAAGATTGATTGCTTTATTTGCTATAGCTGTCAATTTTAGTCCTCGAATTCATAGTAAATGCTTTATTTGCTTAACTGCTATCAAGGAATATGACTCTCCTTTGTAGTATGCATGAGAGAAGATGCCGCGAGATTAGTGGACTTCTATGCAGTGTCCGCTGATAATGTGTGGCTGGTCTGGACAGAAAATGCCAAGGATGAATTTTTGCCCCAGTCCACCCCTGTATATGTCCCTATATCAAGTTGGTGCTTCCATATGTGTCACCTAAAGAGGATATATTATTATGACATACTTGCTCTGGAATATATGAAGAAATAAGTTTATAAGATGTGTTTAGTGCTGCTTTATCGGGGCGTGGGTTCTGAATCTGCTTCTTACATGTTAAATCTATTATTATATGAAGTCATTTCTCCTGTTTCTTATAATTAACAATCATTTTAGACTGTTTTATCTCATTTTCACTGAACTTCATTGTTGCACTTTTCTCTTATATCTCCTCCCCAATGTTGTATAAGCTTTAAACTGTTTTTGAATGTTTTTCTATCATTTATTTTTCATCTTGTCTTATAAAGCACTTTGCTATTGTGATTTGAAACGTGCCTATAAAAATAAAGTGTTTGTTTTTCTTTCTTGGTGTTTTCCAAAACTGTTTGATGAAAAACTTTTCACTGGTCTGCTATGTTTTACTTTCTTTCTGAGCATTCATTCTGGATTCACTCACAAAACACAACAAAAAGAAGGATGTAGGATTTTATTTGTTTGTTCTCCTTTACAGTTTTTGCAGCATAGATGGATAAATAGTTAAGTCTGCACACCTGTTGTTTTATTAATGTTATTGCTATGGAGAAAAAAATTTGTTTGTTTCATGTTGCCGTCAAACAAACTGCAAATAAACAGTGTGACCACACATCATATGACATTGTTACTCAAATATGAAAATATCACCAGCTGTTTAAAAAGGATAACTTCTTCCTTATAACTCACTCGCTTCACCAACACAAGAACAGATCAAATACATTTTACACAAAGACTCCAGATCTCACCTTTAATCATAAACCAACAAATATATTTTGATTTGCAACAGAAGAAGAAACTTTAATCTCTGTAGTTTGATGATAGTTCTGACAATAAATGAAGAATACAGGAACAACATGGCTTTCTTCCTCTGTTTCTTTCACTCTTCACTCGTTCATATGAATATGCATCAATAATCTATAGAAACACGCTTTTATACAATTAGTGCTGCTCCAACAGACATTTAACTTGACTGGATATCACTGGTTGCAGGTCAAAGATTAAGGAAGGTGTTAAAATGTTCTGCGCTCTGTTTTCACATAATGATACAATACTAATAATACATGTTTTTATACCCCAGAAATGAACAACGTTTATCATGAAGTAGATGTGTTTTTTTCCTGAATGAATTTGAAGATGAAGATCCTAAAAGTGCAGGAAAGATTTCCAAAATCAACCCAATCAAATTGTGTTGCACTTACTGGAATAAAGATTTGTTCACATAGCTTTTTTTTTTTTC